CCTAAGTTAAATTAACAAAGGGTTCATCTTATATATCAATGTTATTATCTTTCTCCTAAGCTTGAAGGTGCATACGGAGGTTGAATGATGTAGCTTTGATGCTTGATCTCCTCCCTTGAATGATGGTTTCATATCTTGAACTTGATAGCATCATGACCATGGAATAGGTTGAGATTTTACAATGGACTCCACAAATTAGCCAATTACAAATATGGCCTAACAATATCTCCTTGTGGCAATTTCGTGACAAAAACACACAAGTTAAAAATTATGATTACAACTTAAAACCATTGAACAAAAGAATTGTAAACTAATCTCTACTCTAATGTATACATCCTAGATCTCTATTTAGTACAAGGATCTACTTCTTCTAATGAAGCTTGAAGGTAGTAGTCCTGCACGCCACCACTCAAACCAAAACTTCGTGATAATCATCATATTTTATAGAAATACATAACATAATTACAGGTATGGAAAGCACCAAGTTTAGCATAGGGCATAAGTATGTATATATCATGCAAGTGCAAATATGTAACATGTTAGAAACTATATTGCCTAGTATGCTTGAGAACATATTAATTTATCAATACAAAACACATCAAGTTCCCCCCTTAGTTGGTGTTCACAATTAAAATAACAAGTGAAAAATAAACAAATAAAAATGTGTTTGACTTCATGCCACATTTGCAAATTTTACTCCCTCTGAGTATTTGAACAAACTTACCCTTTTTATGTTCACATGCAACATATTTCACCTAGTCAAGAGTAAATCCCCTGATTTGTCCCATATGTACCTAAAATATTTTCCCCCTTTTGTTACAAATGCCAACCCAATGATAACATGCAACAAGCATGGTACAAAATCAAGTTATCCAACATATTCTTATCTTATTTGCTACAGATGTTAGTCCAATGATGACCCATAAACAATTATGATATAGAATCATGGTATAACATGAAGATATGAATGCACAACAACTAGCCAAATCATACAAGTAAACTAAGCAAGGGACAAACAAGACAAATGACTCAAAGTCAAATAAGAGTAAGCATCAATGAACAAGACTAAGAGTTTGTCACAACAACAAAAAACAAGAGCTAAAACAATTAAAATCAACAAAAGATAAAAAGTCAACAAAAAAAGAAAATAGAGTACTTTAGTACTAGCCATGAATAAATGTAAAAACACTCTCAAACTCACATATGACCTATCCTAAGTCTCCAAAGTCATAGCTCAAATGGCTGCATCACCACCAGCTCCTCCATCACATCAGAGCATCTTTAAATCTAAATCCACGTCATCTAGCACTAGGTCACCGACAATATACTTCCCCTTTAGCAACTTCTTGAGTCATCTAACTCTACGAGCAACTACTCCCATCACATTCTGCTGGGTCTCCTCAAGGCTCATTATCCTACCATCAATCGCATCCAACCTCTGAGAAGTAAGGTGATGATGCTCTATTACGGTGTGCTCAACCCTAGTCATCATATTAGCAAGTGATGCCATATGGGGCTACAAGGATCTTGGACTAGATTCATGTGGTGGTGTCCTAGATGTACTAGTTTGGGGATGAACATGTGAGGCTTGCTCCTCAACCACTACAACATACTCAACCTGAGTCTGACTCTACTTCATCGAGCTCTTATTCAAGGCCCTCGTGTAGTTCTGCAATTGGTCACTCCTCAAGATAAATGCTCATTTCCCTTGGCAGATACGAGAAATACGAGATCCAAATGGTAAATTGTCTGACATTCTCCCCTCTAAAAAGGATCACGAAATAAACCCAAATATCACAATCAAAAAATCAAAATCAAACCAGACCAAGAAGGGCATGATTTGATTCGGTAAGAAGGGGTAGTTAGCGCCAAGATATACCGGACCGTTTGAGGTAATCAAAGTAGTAGGCAAGGTGGCATATCAACTTCGAATACCAGCCCAGCTATCCGGAGTACATGATGTGTTCCACGTGTCCATGTTCAGAAGGTGTCACTCGGATGCAACTCTAGTCGTGAACTTGGAGGAGATTGAAATTGAAGACAGAGCAACCTACGAAGAACAACTGGTAGAAATTCTCGATGCCTAGGAAAAAGTGCTTCGCAACAAAATTATCTGATTGGTGAAGGTTTTGTGGCAACACCATGGAGTGCAGGAAGCTACATGGGAACCAGAGCAAGAAATGCGGGAGAAGTATCCATATTTGTTCGCTACTTGAGATAAGTTTTGAGGATGAAACTTTCTTTAAGGGGGGTGGATTGTAACACCCAGCATTTTCTTTTATATATGTATATAGATATATAGTAAATAATTGTGGTAAAAATGTGGATATGTGTAGTGATGTGTGTTTGAATTTGGTAGATTGGAAAAGTAGAGATTTAAAATGTTAGTGGAAATAATAGTTGAAATTTAATTTTAATAAGTGAAAATATGAAATTTTAGGTCCTAGAACTTGTATTAAATAGGTTTGGTGTAGAAATATGTGTTGCAGAGGTTTGGAATGGATTTGGTTGGCTTAGGAATGGATTGGAAATGGAAAAGGGATGAAATAGTGCACGTAAACAGTGCACTGGCTGCAACTTCATGCGTGATGTCGACCTTGATGCAGTCAGTATCTCTCAAAACTCAAAACATGAAAGTTGTAGAGCTCTTTCATAGATTTCCATATCATCTTGAATCATCTTAATCGGAGCTCGGATGAGAGAGTTATGCCCAGATAATGAAGTAATGTCAAAACAGCCCAATTAGCTTGAACAGTGCACTGGCTGCAACCTCAAGCCCGATTTAGACCTTGATGCAGTGAATATCTCTCAACACCCAAAACATGAAAGATTTAGAGCTCTTTCTTATCATTCCATATTATCTTGAATCATCTCAATTGGAGCTCGGATGAGAGAGTTATGCCTAGATAACAAAGCGATGTCAAAACAGTCCAATTAGCTTTGTTTTGCATTTAACGTCTCCATTTGCATCCTAAATCAAAATATAAGAATAATGAGTACATTTAGGCTTCAAATAAGTATAAAAGGCTTTAAGAAGCACCCTTTATCACCTTTTGTTCGCAAACAACGCAAAACTTCATTAATAGCCGGTTCGGATGGGTAAAAAACTTTGGTGTTTCGGGTGTACGTTGACTTTGGTTTTGAGATAAATCATAAAAATAATTTTTTTAGGTTAAAATAACATTAAAAATGAATCTCGAACATCAAAAAATCTTAGGGTAGTCATATGGATCATATTGGAGATTCTTAGTGGTAAAACCGTAATTTTGAAGAAAACCAAAACAAGCTGTGAACAGTGAATTTCGGGGCTGAGGTGTTTTAAACCCCATTTTCATCCCATTTGCCCTCATTTCTTTCATTCCACTCTCACCCCACACCTCTTAGAACCCTAGAGACCATTAGAGAGGAAGAAAAGAAGGGAAAAACAAGAGATTTAAGGGTAGATTCAAGATCAAAGCTCAAGTTCTTCCTACAAACTAAGGATTCAAGGTAGGAGATTTCTCTCTTTCACTTACATTGAGGCTAGGGTATTTATATATGTATGTTTTGGCTATCAATGATATATATATGCTATGGAATCATCCTCTTTTAGGCTTTTTGGAAGGATTACATGTTTTGAACAAAGTAGGGTTTAATACCTATGACATCTCCTTTCTAGTTTTAAAACTCTAATTTTTGGAGAGTGATGTATTTCCTTCCTAAATGCTTTCTTTATTATGGATTTTGAAACCTTAGTGCTTTGTGTTGGGTAGAAAAATGATGTTATTGTGATCTCATGTATTTTCTTAGTTGGTTGTGGAATTGTTACGTGATATATTTTGGGGATTTTGGATAGATGCTTGTAAATTGAGATAAATGTTGGAATTGTATGCTTGGTTGAGTTGTTCGTGATGCACATGAGTGAGAGGTTCCTTGTAAGGATGCTCACCCCTTCCCAATGGGTTCCCGGTAAGGATGTTTGGGAAACAATGTAGTTATTGGGGAGAGGTTCCATGTAAGGATGCTCATCCATTCTCAAGGGGTTCCCGGTAAGGATGTTTGAGAATCAAAGGTGTGCTAAAGGGGGGTGGAGGTTACCACAAAGTATGCCACCTACCGAAAGAATTGTTGGGAATTGGTTATGGCAATGAATGGTTATTATTTGTATGTGGTGCTTGTTTATTCATTTAAGTAATGTTTTTAAATAAACTTGAGATCCTTTTTAAATGTCACTGCTTTATTTTAAGTTATGTATCTATGTTATGTTAAAATTTAGACTGACCGTTTTAAATGGTTTTCTAAACCTTGTATGGGTTTGGGAGAATTTTTCTACAGAGCTTCGTGCTCACCCCCTATCGCTAACATTTTTCAGATTACCCGCTTGAGGAGGAGGACGTAAGGCTCGAGGAGCCCGCTACTTGGGAGACTCTACTGGACGAGAGTGTGGATCTCGAGGTGGATGCATAGAGTGACCTCCTTTCCTTTTGTACTAGACTAGGACATTCTTTTGGAACATTGTGTAGTCTAGCTTCTTTTGTTTATTCCGCTGCGCTTCTTTAATTAATTTTTGAGATGTAATAGCCATGCCTTGGGCTTATTATTTTGGATAATGTTGTAAATATTCGTGGATGACAAATGAAGTCTTGTTTCTTAAGAGATTATATTAGTGCTCTCATGATATGAATGATTTTAGAATGTAATGCTGTCTAGGGTGTGTTTTGGGGTGTTACATGTTCTTAACCAGTTCTTTTCAAGATTACCCTTACCATCATTAATCTTTTTAGGACTAGTGCTGACTAGTGGGGGTGTAGGCTTGGGATGACCAAACATGGTCTTTGACGAAGTGGAGGTGTTGTGTTCATTAGTGAAACCTAATCCATTTTTGCCACCACCACTTTTCCCTATAGCCAAAATTTTATCAAGCTTTTCGGTGATTTGGGAAAGTCTTTTAGAGAGCTCCTGTGATTCATGGAGGTCTCTATCAAGTTTCATAAGTTTAAATTCTAGACCTTTCTTAGACTCTAAACGCCCATTGTGATCTCATTCACCTTATCATGGAGGAACTTCTTCTCCACCTCAAGCCCAACAATATGAGCCTTGGAATTAACTAACTCCACATGAAGTTCTTTCTTTTCATCTTCACTCATTTTGAGCCTCGTGCTAAATGAAACCAACCTCTCTGCTTGTTTTAGGCACTCCTTGAATAACTCGTTATAAGCATCTTGGAGGTCCTCAACACTTTCAATCTCCTCATCTACATTCGTAGTGGGACTAGACTTAAATATTTTTCCACATTCTTGGAAGTTTCTCGTGTTGCGGGGTAGTGTGAACCTCTAAAGGATGTAAACATTTCTTCATCACTTGACAAAGAGGATGCAATACTCGTAGTGAACTCACTTTCACTTTTATTCACTTAGTCTTTCAGGCTTTTCTCCTCTCCTTGGGCATGTCCTTCTTTATAGCATTAGGACATTCCACAACCATGTGTTCAAATCCATGAAACTCATAACATTGGAGATCTTGCCCCTTCTTCTTAACCTCGTGTTGAGAATGTCTACCGCACTTTCTTTTCCCTTTCTAAGGGACTTGGGTCTACTCGGATTTCCTTTTGACCTTGAGGACTTGACACCATTAGCCTTAAAATATTTGTTGAATTTTCTTGAAAGATAGGCTATATCCTGTTCTCCTAACTAGGGTGACTTGGATTTACCCCCTTCTTCAATCTTTGAATTTAATGCAACACCCTTCACTTTCTTGGGTGGAACATGGTTCATCTCAAAATTCAAAATGGACCCAACAAGGCCTTTAACCGACACCATGGACATGTTGACACTCGTCTCGAGTAAGGTCCCTATGGCGTGAAATTGGTTCGATATAGACCTCAAGATTTTTCACTTAATTGCGGCATCGTCGATCTTGGTAACTAATGCAAAGGAAGAATTTACAATATCGCATAATTTGGCATAAAAATAGCCAAAGGTTTCTTTTTCCTATTTCATTCTCAACATCTCGAATTGTGAGGTGTACCTTTGGAGATGGGACATCTTCACCATTGTAGTTCGTTCATGTGAAACCACAAGAATATCTCATGCCTCCTTTTGGAGTCTTACAATTAGTGATCCTTCGAAACTCATTGGGTGTCACAACATTGAATATCACATTCAAGCCTTTTGAGCTCCACCCCGCCAATTCAAACTCAGTCTTCCACCAAGTCGTTGGGGATTTTAATTCAACCACTGCTTCACCACCTTCAATTTGCATAGTGGTGATGGGAGGGCTCTAACCCTCCTGCACAGATAAGCATACTCTCTCATCAATTGATTTTAGAAATACTCTCTTGCGGTCATTTCAATAAGCAAAGTTTGAATCATCAAAGAGAGCTAGTCATGAAATTGATCCTCCTTCCTTTTGAGACTCTATTGAAAACTAACTTGTAGTAGTGATAGATCTGTTGGAGGTCAACTAGGCTGATTAACCCTAATTAGTATGTAAATTAATATAATTAAATAAATTATTTTGTAAGATAAAATAGTTAAAAACTATAAATTAGAGTTTGTGCGTAAACTAAGGTTTATGTGTGTACTGTTTAAAAATTTTAGGATTTTTTTGTGCGGAATTGCCGAAAATCAGGAGCAATCTGTCAAAGCTTAAAACAACTAAGGAGGCAAGTGTAATTCAATAATAAGAACATGCAAGAACGTCATGGAAGCTTCACTACCAAACAAGGACCATCCGGACAATGGCGGTGGTGTCTGGATGGTGGCTCTAGGTGGTTTGAGCTGATCCTCCACCTCCTCCTTCACCTTTGCCTATATATATCAGCTGCCATCTTCATTTTCAACGGGCTGGAATTAGAGAGAGATTAGGAGAGCTCCAAAGAGAATTCAAGAAAAGAAAAAGAGTGAAAAAGAAAGAAATGCATAAAGAAATTCAAGACCCGGTCCGTCCTACTCTCCAGCCAAAACTCTATTATTTATACATTTCTGTTATGTCTTTTTACTTGAAAAGTTGAACTACTACCACCTCTGTGTCTTAACTGATATTAAGTGTGGTTGAATTTCAATCTTTCCTTGCAAAAGAAGTGTCAGCTTTTGTATTTTATTGAATATTGTAATGAAAATTACCTGCACTTCTTGCTTGTTAATAATAATGGAGTGTGAGTAGTTTATTTATACCCTTTAGTGAGGGCTGAACATATGTATAATATTGGTTAAGTTATGGAAATGCTGATGTTTTATTATGCTTAAAATATGCTTACAGTTATGAACACCGAGCGATACTTAATATTCTATACTATATATTATTATGCACTTCATGCATACGTAATTGGGTGTTACTATATAGCCCAAAATTATGTCATCAGTGAATCATCAACCTACCGGTGGAATATCTAAAGTGTTCCATTTGAATGGCTTGACCTTCTGGTGCGCTGAGGATGTTTTACTGTTGCATGGTACAATTGTCAAATGAATAGCCTAAGTGATCCTCCTAAATGCCTTGACCTTCTGGATTACTAGGGTTGTTTAACTGATACAAGATATAAAAGTTGTCAAATGAATAACCTAAATGATCCTCCTAAATGGCTTGACCTTCTAGATTATTAGGGTTGTTTAACTGATACATATTATAATATTGACAATTGAATAATTCTAGTGATCCTCATGAATGGCTTGACCTTCTGGTTACTTGGATTAGTCAATTGTCATATATACCACCAACTAACCTAAGAAGTAGCTATTTTATGGTTTAATATACATCAGACCTACCAGTTGACTTTTTAAGTGACAGGAAAAGTATATGGGATCCTTACATTGAAGGGTACCTTTAATATTATTGTCTTTAATCAGTTTACTTATATATATAAATTACTTAGATTAGTTATCAATCTAAGCTCACATCACAAGCTATCTTATGTTACACTATTTCAACAACAACTTCATTACTTTTATTTTAAATTCTAATTATTAAAACTCTTTGTGGGATTGATCTTGGACTTAAATCGAGAAAATTACAATTCAACCACTTATTCTTGGGTGTATAATATAAATCAGATCACAAAATAGGTTAAATCATAGGCAAGTAAGCAAAAACAAAATATGCATACTAAGTGTCTTATGATCTGAGGGCTACCACGCTCTGATATCAATTGTTGTTTTGGGAAGGCAAACCCGATATGGATCTTCCATCATGATTATACAAGTTGATATTTGTACTAATGCATGAAATTATGTTATTTTGAAATTATAGGGTCTAAAAGAGTGAAATTGGAAAGCTGAGGGGCTAAAGTACAAAAAGGAACATTGAGGCAATAGTACTAGCGTTTGAATGGTGGAACACCATCCGAATGGTGAATGTCCTCAACTCCCAAGGAGAAACAACCACAATTCCAAAGAAGAAGCACAGTCTGGACGGTGGAGGTTGGCATTCGGATAGTAGTGAAACCAAATCATTCTTCAGTTATAGTTGAAGGCTTTCCTAGCTTATTCTCTCTTCTACATTTCCTGAAGACCTCCTTCTACTTGGAGGGTTGAACCTGTTTCACTTTTTCCTTGCTTACCTTGGTAAACAAAGGGTGGTGGTGTTTCAATATAACCTCAGGGAAGAGTTAGGAGCTTTATTTATGTTTTATTGTTTTGTATTGTAATTTCCAACTTACTTGGAGGAATGAACATCGCCCACTTTTCTAAGTTGTCTATGACTATGAAGAGTGGGTAGTTCTTCAGTGATGGGCAAAGACTTGTGTAACATTACTTGAGCTATGATAATTTCAATTTTAGTTATACTTTATTGTTATATACCGCCCTTAAATGATAAATGGTACACTCTTTTAATGTTTTGTAGTTTGTATTCCTAATGTGTAACTTAGGTTATGCTCATGGTTCATGCAGGTATCGGGCTAGGTTTTATTGTTATTTCGACTCCATCCTTTTTATATTATGTTCTTCATGTATGATTTAATGAATTACTAAGATGGGTTTTATGTAAAAGTCAATAGAGTGGTTATAGACAGGTTTAGTCTCGCCATATCCAATATTTTTGATTCAATGCATAATCCAGAGCTTTATTTTTCATTAAACCCTAAACATTCCGATCAATTATCAAAGTGAACTTTTAAACAGCTGTGTACCTTTAGGTTTGCTAGGGTAATTGGTTTTGTTATGATGCATATACTTTCTAGTAAACCTAACGATCATAGTTTTATATAAATACCTTCTGATTAACTTACCATTATCGTGCGGGTTAGTTGTAGTATGGTGGCAATATCATAAATTCAAGAAATGGCATGCATGTCTCGGTCCCTAAACGAAAGAGTGCCTTTTTCCATTTATTGCAAACTCGTGTTTTTCAACAAGTAAGTTTCAAACCACTAAGCTCACACCACAATCCACTGTTTATCAATCTTTTTCTAGGTTTCATTCACTCTTTTTTTAGTTTCCAATAGATAAATCCCTATGGAATCAACCTCAAACTTAACTAAGAATATTACAACTTGACCATTTATACTTAGGCTTGTACGATTATGATCATGTCACAGACTTCACATGAAGTGTGATCCACCCCCTAACGTAAACATTGCATTGTCCCCAGTGTAAGGTCAAATAATTAAATCACCATAAAAATGCGCAAGGGAAGAAAACATACGTCACGCTGCATTGCATCAAAACCTAAAAAAATAAAACTTAAAAACATTGGTCTAAACCTTTGCCCATTTACTTTAAAACATTCCCATTCTTGGGATTTTCAATCTCTACCACCCTATAGGGAAATCTTCTTTTCTGATAAAAGGGTCAGTCCATCTATATCTAAGATTCCCAAGAAATAAATGCAATCTAGAATTGTACAAAAGAACTTTATGTGAAGCTTTAGAAGATTTATGCAAAATATATTTTTCATGAAACACCTTTATTCATTCTTTGTGAATTCTGGAGTTCTCATAAGCTTCATCCTTGACCTCCTCAAGTTCATTCAATTATAATTTCCATAAAGAGCTCACTTTGTCTAAGCTAAAGTTACAAATTTTAATGGCCCAATAAGCCTTATGCTCTAGTTCCACAGGCAAATGGTAAGCTTTACCATAAACAAGTCTATATGGAAACATGTCAAGTGGGGATTTGAAACTAGTATACTATGCCCATAGCTCATCAGCTTAAGGACCAACCCTTCAGATCATTAACCATTTTTTGAAGAATGTTTTTAATCTCCCGATTGGGGAGCTATGCTTGTTCAGCCATCTGCAGAAGATAGGGGGTTTCTACTTTATGTTTAACACCATACTTCTTCATTAAGTTATCAAATGATCTGTTACAAAATTGCAATCCACTAATCATGGCCC